CGGATATTTTTATTATCGTAATGACCCGGTAAAATTTCTGGTTAATTTCTGGATATCACTGATAAATTGTAGAAATTTAGTCTCTGTGTCGTCCACGATTATAAATTATAATTATAAATTATAATCGTGGTGTCGTCGAATCCAATCAAATTAATTTCAGGTTTGCCGTTTATATAAAAATACAATTTATTTTACAATAAAATAAAAATAGTATACTAATAAACTATAAAATAAATGATAACACCAATGGCCAATATATTAGGCCTTTTTTTTAAGTCTGTGGGTATCCAGACACGGAGTACACCCCCCCTCTACCCAAAATACGCCACTTGTAATAACCCTGTATGTATTTATATCCTTTATAATAGTTGTGAATATAACACGACGGAAATGTTATGAAGTATGAACGTATTATAATATTTATCCTTAATGAGAATATTGTATTTAACTAGGTAGGTACCTACTTATCTACATTATTGTTACGTCTCTACTTGTCGACATCAACGATCAACTCGACAATGAATAGATACCTATCACCTACTACCAACTTTTAGTAGCTTCTTGGGTTTTTAGGTAAGTATAAATATTCTTTATTAAACTTAATTAACAAAAATACAATATAGTAAGCTAGGAAGTAGTAATCGAGATGATGAGCGATGAGACGACCAGATTTTGAATAGGTACTTTTACTTATACTTATATACAATGCAACTCATCGCATAATATTATTGTCGATAGCCATTAGCCGGTAGGTTAATATAATAATATCACAGAAATATTCTAAATCTGAGTTCGTGATTATTTATATTATTATAGTAATAATTACTATTATTATATTAGGTAGGTATTATACTATTTTTAGATTTTGAGCAGTGAGCGGAGTAATGCATGTATTGATTTTACAATGATGTGTTTTTTTATTTATGTATAACATGAACATTTTATTTGTTGGGTAAAAAAGCGTGAAAATTTAATACAAGGCTCCTAATATATTGTTACAATAGCAGTTGAAAAATATCAAAAATACATAGGCGTGATTTTTTTTTATATAAGCATTTTAAGTTCGAATTTTGACAGAATTTATCAAATTTAAAATTTAATACCTACCTAATGTTTTATAATTATTTTGTAGTTAAAAATGAATAAGATAACTTATTATAGCCAAATATCTGCGCATATTATAATATGTACATTGTACCTATAATAGTTCTGTACAGGGCCGGGTATTTGAACATTTTCCGTCCCCCAAAAAGTTATTTCTTAAAATGTAAGGTACCACCTACCTATTATTTTTGGTCATAATTTATGGGTTATAATTAAATGTGGTTAGATTTTGAATTTTTTTTTTAAAACTTTTATTTTTCAATGAGTTAAGAACAATCAGTAATGCAAACAGAATTTGTCAGTCGAACTTAGTTTCAAAGTTATACACGAGTTTGCAAATTCCCATCCGTCAGGGGTTTTTTTTTTTATTAAATTTCTTTATGAACAATATAATATACAGAAAGTACAATAGGTAATTTCTGATTCCACCAAAATTATAATTATAAAAAAACTCACATCTACAAAAAACCAATTCGAAAATATTATTTTTGGTATTTTAATATTAAGATTTTAAGGTTATGAAGTTTTTTTTATCTTATAGCTTCTACAGAAAATTTTTTATAGTAGGTACCATCGTTAAGCGTGGAAAACACAAATTTTGAAGAAAAGAATTCACGAAAATTGATTTTCAGCTAAACTGCATTCCTTCCAATATTTCATATTTTCGTTTATTAGTTATCTATTAAATCTCTAGGAAAACCAATGTTAAATAAACATATTATAGTTTGTATAAAAAAAGTATATTAAAAAAAAATTATTGCACATATTAATTTGAAAGGATCTAGTAGGTTTAGATACCTTTGGTATCCAAATAGTTATGGTTTATACTCATAAGTCATATTATAAAAATAAATTATAAACTGAAAAAAATGTACTATTTATTTTAATTGAATTTTTTCTGATCTTAGTTTTATTAATAATCAAGACGTAGCCACGTAGGTATTAAGTAAAAAGTAAAATAAACATTATTATTATGTTTTGTTTTACTTATTTACAATAACGCTAGCCGCGGGCTGCAATCATGCCGTTATCAGTTATCCAAGGGATTATTATTTTTAGTATAAAAATAGATTTGAGAGAATATCATCCTAAAATAAACTATGGAAAAATGTCCACCAAATCACAATACATAAGGAAAAAAACATTTTACATAATTTCAAAGTTATAGCTATGTTGGCTTAATAATAAAAAAAAGTTCATGACAATTTACCGCTCCCCAAGTTCCACCTGGAAGGGCAATGGCCCACCCTGCCACCCTTAAATATGGGCCTGGTTTTGTAGTTAAATAAAAACCGTTCTCTGAATCTCGAGGATTAAGATAACAAAGTTGAAATTAACATTTCAGTTTTTAAATTTTCTCTCTAGAAGTTCTCCGCCTATGTATCAACAAAAACAAAATATGACATATATGACATACCTACTTTATGAAAAAACTAATATGAAAGTTTAACTTTCATCAATAAAGCCGAATAATAAGTACATTTGTAATTATAAAAAGTAATTTCACTCATCTCATTAAAATTAAAATGTTGAAGTCCTATTTGTCTGTTATTTAAAATATTTTTTGAATTAAATACAAGTTATTATTATATGAAATCATTATCATTTTTGTTGCAAATAATCCTTACATAAAATGACGCATTAAAACTATATTGAAACAAAGTAGGGGCTCCACGATAAAAGTGGACATACAAAATGGTTGGATAAAAAATTTTAAGAAATTCTGAGTTCTAACTAATAGATTTTTCAGTCAAAATAACCAAACATACAAATCTTTGATATAAGTTTTAATATCTCAATAAAATACATCAACTCTTCTAAACACAATCATTTTTTTAGAACATTAAAATAGTTCATGAAGATAAAATAGTACAGAATGTGCCATCCAAGCATTTTGGAATAGTAAATAGTTTGGCTATCCATGATATTAAATATTTATAATATTAAAAAAATATATATATTTAAGCAATAAGCAAAATATTATTCCTGTCTAACATTTCTACTCGTTTCTATACGCTGGTAATACAGTCAACTCGCGATATAACGAAAATCTTGATATAACGAATAAAACTACCGGTCCCTTGAAAATATCGCGGTATAATATAATTTCGATGTAACGAACTTTCGATATAACGAATTTTTTGCTCGGTCCCTTGAAGTTCGTTATATCGCGAATTGACTGTATAAATAATCTAGACCTATATTAATATGCATTATATATTTATAAACGTTATAATACTGAGTGTGTATACTTTGATCTTATAGAATATATGCTACCGACAAACGAAATCTTATTGCCAATTCGTTACCAGCAATTAGTTTAACCTAAATTAGATTATCTACCATTACTAATTAATAATTACAAATAACAAATTAAATTATTTGGTTATAGGGAAAAATATTATATAAATAAATGAAACTCTTATTAGCTATATTTATTTTTTTATTAACATTTTAACAGAAAGTTATAGCTATAGTACCTAATATTAATGATAATGATAATATTATAATGTGTAATGAATATATGCTGCAATAAACATGCAATTTATGTTTGTGCCCAAATGACTGTGTATGGTTGGACTATAGAATAATATAGGATATAGGTAATTCGTAACAAATGGCGTTAAAAATTGTATAAGGTTTTTTTAACTTTCCCCTTTTAGAAATCCTAGCTATGTGACAATATATCACTACCCAATATAAGAATACTTACAAAAATTATGATTAACTAATAAATTAATAGAATTATATTTTACTGGATACATAGTTGAAAAAATACAAACATTAATATTTGATCCAATAATTAGCACGTCAAAGGTACAGTCATTGCCAGATAAATTTAGACGGCGGCGGCGGCGCTTTTCAGTAAGTGTAGGCCAAACTAGTCGCTGACAGTGTGGTGCAAAGGTCACAAAGTTAGCTACGATGAGCGCAATCACCAGTTCTAACCCGACTCAGTGTAAAAAATTTTATTTATTATTATTATTTTTATATTATTTTACAATTTCTACTTTTTGTTCTTAGATAAAAGATTATTATCAGAATATTTGATTTTAAATTAATATCGTAAAATAATTGTTGTGATAATTGTTGGTTTATTGATGTATTTTCGGTAATAATATACAAATATAGAGAACCACTGATTTTCCGTTATCGCGCAGCCGTCGCCGTCTCAATTTATCTGGCAAAGACTGTAGTATGTATATATTTACATGCAAAAAAAAAGTTACAAGAATTATTTTATATTTATGAAATAAAATGACTTTAAATATTAGATTTTAAAATTCATAAATAATGTAATATTTAATTGTCAATCTTAACTAATTAATTATACTCAAGCAACCAAGTTTAAAATATTATAGTGTAGTTTCATAATATTACAAATATAAATAAACAAAAATCCATCATTTTTAAAAAGTTTTCGTATATTAACAAATAAAACTACTTATAAGTTATACACATAATCATTAATGCAACAATTATATTATACTTCACAAGAACTATGTGAACTATTTGTAAGATGGAAGAACAAATAATGTATTTTAAAATGTGTATAAGATAATTATGCAATGACATTATAATTTCTTGTATAACACAAATAATTAATAAGCTTTAAACATCATTTTGGTTTCCTAATGCAGTTCGTAAATTATCTAACATTTTTTTTTCTGACGATTCTTGATCAAATGATTTACTACCTGTAAAAAAATACAATTTAAATTATTATCCTTCATAATATAATATACTCATAAGTAGATTAATCTCTCCTTTATCATAGACTGGGATTTAAGATAAGTTTTGAAATTTATTTTTTAAGATACAAATTATTATGTACAAAATAAGTAATTACTTTGAAGTTGGATTGGTTAAGTGGATTTTGTTCCAAAAAATGTAAATTATCCCAATAATGCTTTTTTAATTTTTGTGAAAATCCCATCATCAGCTGTTTGGGTTGATTGTGTTTGATCAGCTGATGGGCCTAAAAAAAGTAACTTTTTGTATAAAATTTGTAATTTTTTTTTTAAGCTAACAAATGTTATTAAATTTAATTGTTTAACTTAAAATTGAATGAAAATAAATATTGATATCTTATCATTAGAGATAGGATGTTGATCAATTTTCAATTTTTTTCCTTTGATCCTATAAAATGCTAACTAAGCTAAAAATTAGTTTCGTGCTCCATTGATTCAGAATATTGTACTAATTTTATCTTGCATTTTTAGCTATTTTATTTTTGATAATTTAAGTAATTTTTTTTTTACGGTAAATTAAACTTTTTTTTTATTTTTAGAAGAAAATATGCAACATTTATCTAAAACAATATAATGAGTATATATGCAATAAGAGGGAAACAAATAAAACATGATTTACATAATTTAGGGAAAGAAGCCACCCACTGATGACACTTTTGACTTGGTTTAAATCTTGTGTGATTTAAATATATGAAGATTTTTTTATATATATTTAAAGTAATAAATCTCTGCACCATTTATGTTTGAGTCGCTTTGGGGGGCTACCTGTGATTGTGAGGGGGATGATAAGTTCTTGATGAGAAGATTTTAATGGGGGATAGACAGTGATGAAATTTTTTATAAAAACGTTTAGCTTCAACGTGAATAGTTTTAAGTTATAATATATATGTAGGGTATGGTTTGATATGTATGGAGGGGCGTTGACTAATTTCCTTAAGGTCATATTTTGGAAAGCTTGTATCTTATTCAAATTAGACTAGGGAAATGCCCCATAGTAAATTTAACTCAAAATTTAAATGTTGATAAAATATTAATGTCTATTAATTTTACAAATCATATTTTAAATTACTCTGACACTCATTTTCACACCCATATCTCTAAAAATAATAATTTTTTTTAAATTTTTTTTCACTCACCTATTTAATTGAATGTTTTTGGAGTTTTTAGGACATTTTTGTGTGTTATTTAGGTCATCAACATCCTATCTTTACTTATCATATTATAAGCAGTAAAAATGCAGTTATAAGTTTGAGGACTAAAGGCCTTATTTAATATAATTTATGACTTAACTTTAGGACATGGTTTACTTTTTAACATGTTAATAAAAATTCAGCGAAATATACTTTAAACGTTTAATTTGTTCCATCATATTAAAGTACCTACTAAATAAATGGAAACAAGAAATATCTCTAAAAAAGTTTTTAACATAAATGAAAATAATAATTTTAACAAATAAGAGTTGATTCAAATTAAACCAAAAACATTGATAGGAGAAATAAATTAAAAATAATAATTATTTATTTTTCATAATCAAACAATAGTATTCTTGATTAATATAAAATATATGGTAAGAAACCTACAACCATATTAAACGAATTCCCAGACTATGAAAACTTAGAGAACAACATTACTATATTTATAATATCTGTAATTAATATTATTTGTAACTACAAGGCAATTTTAGCGACAATGGTCCATTTACCAAGAACTATACACCCTATATTTACATTTTAGTCTATAGTCACAGATAGACAGCCCTTTTATTCCTCAATTTCAATGATGTTATCGAATTAAAATGTATAAATAACTAACAACATCTCCATTGTCAATCAAACTAAATTTACCCACTAACTTGCTGTACACCTGAAGAAAGGTGTACCAAAGCAAGTATGTATGATAGAATAATAACTATATTTAATACCAGAGTGTATAACAGAAAAAACTGACAAATAAAATAATTCTACATTTATTATACATTGTTTTTAACACTAAAATAAAAAATTTAAAATTTGTTTTAATTTTTTTAGAAAAATTGATTTTAGCTAATTAGTAAATCTGACTTTTAGAAAAAACATTTATTAAAATCAAGTTAGTTTATTTTTCAAAATATTCTTTTTGGTAATTTTTAGATGTAAGAAGTAAATCTTAATTTATTTATGGACCATTTTCATAATTTTAACTAAAATCAATTTTAGATTCTGAGAGTAGCGAAAGAATGTATTGGTTTACAATGATATTTTTTTTCTGTCTGTCGACATCATTTTGGATAGTAAGCATGATTTGATTTTTGAGATTTTTTTTTTATATGCAATTGAAGTTAAAATTTTGACAAAATATTGAATGTTTTCAGTTAGAAATTCATAAATGGTTCACTTTTCAAAGCTAACATAATAAATGTTGAAAGAAGACTACACCCAAATGTACCTACCTTAAAAAAAAAAGTTTACCAAAATGAAAGAAATTTAAATTTTAATGATATTGGATTTTCATCAATCAATTTTTGATAATTTATTGTAACTTAAAAAAAAATTACCCTCGATACTTGAAACTTTAACTAAATGTTAAAACGACCATTATCCATACAAGGTAATAATTTCAAACAATTTTGAAACTTTTTCAGCCATTAATAGCCGTGAGAAATTTTATAAATGTTGTAAATTATTATTTAATTTGAAATTCATAAGTTTTTTTTTTTTTTAATTTTAATAGAAGATTAAGTTTTCCTACCTATAAAAAAAAATATACTTAAGAGGAACTATTTTTTATGAACTTTTGAATTTATAATTTTTACTTCATTTGATATTCAGAGGTTAATTATTGATGGATTTTTTATATTTTGTTGCATTTTTAAAACGAATAACCGTAGACTCATCAAATGTTTAATATATATATATAGACGCAAATGGGTTGGGGAGGAGGCCCGCCATAAAAAAACTAATGATTTCACTAATATAATTTAAAAGCATCATAATAGTTTCAAGTATAAACCTGAGCTTCAGCCCCTCCTCCCCCAAATTTCAAACACTATTAAGCCACTGCAAATATTTATATCAGCATTTTACATACATGGGAAATTCAAACTATTTCGAAACTTTTTGAGCTATTTAAAACCATGATAATATTTTAAAATTTTGTAAATTATATTTTAGTTAAAAATTCATAAAAGTTTTTCTTTTCATAGAGCTAAGATAAGAAATGTTAATATGAAACCATATCTCCAGTTACTGATAACCATGAACTATATTATGTGTAGTTTGGGGCTACAGTCATTATGAAATACTAAATAGTTTTGAAAGAGTGATCAGTAACCAAAAGCGTCTTTGGTTGCTTGAATTTGGAAATAAAATTATTGTATTTTGGAAACCGGTTATTTTAAACAGAAATTTTAAGTATAAATATTAATTATAACAATAGTCTTATACATTTCTGGTATTGACCATTGCATCAACTCTTATAATCAAAAGTAACAGGTATCAAGTTTATATGCCTAAATAAAAAATAAAAATATATTTACATTTTAATAAGTGCCTATTTAAATTTTTTAAACACTTTCATATTTGAATACTAATTGTAAAAATAAGCAACAAAATTACAAAGCTTAAATGCATTTTTTTACTATGAAGTATTTTCTAAAAAAAAGTTCAACCAATTGGCTATTTTGAATTTTACTAAGTGGCAATAAATTATAATTATGTAACAATATAATAACTTCAATATTATATAATATTATATAGGTATTCACAATTTTTTTTTAATATTGATCAGAACAAATTATTTTATTTATCAGTTTTTTTTTTACACCCAACAGCACTTATTTATTTGTTAACTCAACATATATATGAATAAAAATAAAAATAAAAAATAAGTTATATACCATCTTTTTTATGATTTAAGTCTTTTATTGTTCCAGGTGTCTTTTCTTCAAGCTCTGCATAAGCTTTAATCAATGCTTCCTGCTTCTTTGTTAATGACTTAGGAACATCTATTTTAACATTAACATAATGGTCACCAAGTAAATTGGAATTCACTCTTTTCATTCCTTGTTTGAATAATCTAATTTTGGTGTGTGAGCTAGTACCGGGAGCAATCTTTTAAGACAAATTAAAAAAAAGACAAGTTAAATATAATAAATATATATTAATAATATATAACTTTTAGGATCATTAAAGCATTTTTAAATATTACCTGCACTGTGTGGTCATCATAAATGCCTCTAACTCTAATAGATCCTCCTAATAATGCTTGAGATATAGAAATTTTAGCATCTGTATGGATATCAGAACCATCTCTTTTAAAATAATCAGATTTTTCCACTTTGAAAGTAACAAAAACTTCATTTCTGTTGACCAAAATTCTAATAGATTGACCGTCTTCAATTCCTATTAAAAACCATAAATAATACAATTAAACACTTACAATACAAAATATACAGACAATCGTATAATTTTTATGTACTTAAGTATCTTATCACAGTATTTCTTTATATATGAGGGTACCTGTATTACAAATGTATTTATAAATATTTTATAATAAATTATAGTATTTTAACACCTGAATCATATTAAATGTTTGAGTACATTTTATTCACGTAATTCACAAGCATTTATAATTTAATTAAATTAATAAATAAAACTAATAAACTAAGTAAACTAAAAAAGTTTAAAAAACTTTAAGGTATTTCAATTTTTATCATTTTAAAAGATAAAATAAAAATTCAAACAATTTTGAACGTTATAAAAAGTATTTAAGTTACAATAAATATACAATAAATTGTATACTCTTTTCCATAAGAGAAAGGTACTATTTCACGTATATCGAATGATCGCTGGGCCGTCAAATCCCCTCCACGTTACCACCGGCATATACCAGGCAGGTGGGGCATGTGCAATGAACGACCGGTACCTTTATCTCTCAGAAACAAGTATTACAATATAAAATATAATTTAATTCCTGATATCATTAAATATCTATCATTTTCATATAATATTCAAGATGATTTATGAGTATTAAAATTATAGTCTTAAATTTAATATTAGTACAGTTAAACTATTGAATACATTTAAATATTGCATGTACCTGCTGGAACTGGTACTGTTACTTTTTTACGTTGTACAGTGCTTCCTTTCCCGTGACATTCTATACATGGATTTTTTATAATAACTCTAGTTCCTTGACACTGTCTACATGTTGACTTCATTAAAAAGGGGCCTAAAACATATATATTTTGTACAATGAGTTAAAAAATAAAATAAAAAATACTTATTATAAATACTGTACCTCTTGAGACAGTTTCCATTCCAGTTCCATTACAATGAGTACATGTTGTTGCTTTATATCCTAATTCACAACGAGAACCACGGCATTTGGGACAAATATCAACCACATTTAAATTTAAATCTTTGTTCACACCTCGAGCAGCTTGTTCAAATGTTATTTTAACAACAATCTAAGTGAAATTAATTATAGAGAATAATCAGTTCAAAACTATTTTAAATTTAAAAACAATTCATTACTTCTTCAGCAGCTCCAAATCCAAATTTTGAATCGGCAAAATCTTCTTCAAACGAATTATTATTTCCAAACCCACTCTGATTGAATATTTTCCTAAATAATTCTTCAGCATCTACATTAGATTGGTAACTCCATGCATTTTGGAAATTATCATTTCCTGTACCTCCTCCAGGCCCACCCATATGGTTTGGATTAACATTAGATCCCCATGTGTCATATGTACTTCTTTTTTTTTCATCTCCTAACACCTGTAAATAATATACAATTATTAAAAACTATGAAAATAAATGAGAATATTATTTAGTATACTATTATTTTAATTATTAGGAATGTTTAGTATTCAAAGCGTCAATATTTACAAATTGTATGGTTTACATTGCATAGCACAAACCCTAATATTATAGGATTACTGATTAGATTACAATTTTCCATCAGCTGATTTCTATTCTTAATCGAAAACTAGTATGTTCAAGTAATTATGTCAGTTTTTTTTAAATACCTTTAATAATTAAAATTCATAAGCAACAGTTTGCCGTATTATTGATAATGACATACATTTAGTATATTTCAAATAATATACAGATGAAGTTTAGAAACAAAAATAACTATGAACTACCATTAAAAAAAAAAAATGCATTATCTCCATGGTACAAACACTTAACATACAAAATTGTACATTCTAAATAATCCATTTACTTTGGTAATGTTCAATATTAAAGTGAATTGACCTATAATCAAGTTTAAAAATAAGAATATTATCTAGTGAATCTTTCATTAGTTTGTTTTAAGTAAGTTATGAAAATTTAAAAATGGCTAAGTCTAATAAAATATGTATAGATACCAGTGTAAATAATTTAAATTAAGATATATATTTTTTTAATGTGTATAATGTATATTGCCAATTAGTCATTGTTATCGAGTATTGACATTAATCATTCCGCATTAGTCACTTTAATATTTCTCATAAGTTATAAATAATAATTTATATAGAAATTAATACCTATATAAAATATAATTATTTATAACAATAAACAATAAGACAGTCGCCATACAGTGGCCAACAATTTAATTTTGAAGAAAATCTCAAAATAACATTATAAAATATGTACCTACCTATTTGTAGGTATACATTACAATATAAATTAAAGTATGCATAAGAAAAAAAAATATTAATGATTAAATAAGAATTTTTATTTTATTTGGAACTAAAAAAGGAACAAATTCATTTTTTTTAAAAAAGAATGAGGAAAGGAACGAATTCCTTTTTAACACTTTTCTTAAGTTTGGTTACACGTCTGTCTGTGATCAAATCTTGCGCGCTCGATTTGAGGCACTTTTTGAAGATGAAAAATTCTGAAAATTTGTATAGACCTTGGTCTTGGATGACAATACAATAATCCGTAAAAAAATTTTTTTAACTAAAAAGTAGAAAATAAAAAATTAAAAAATTATTTTTTAAAAACACACTTTTCTAAAAAAACAAAAAAATAATGAAAAATTTAAAAGTGTGTGGCGCTCTTAAACTTGACATATTATACCACACACTTTTAAATTTTTCATTATTTTTTTGTTTTTTTAGAAAAGTGTGTTTTTAAAAAATAATTTTTTAATTTTTTATTATAAGGAACTTGCCGAACACTGATAGATACACCTTTTTTCTATATAGGTAGCTGGGTTCTGACCCAGTGTTATTTATAAATAATATATATTTAGAGGTGTAATAAAAACTTATTTATTACCTAGTCTGAAAACTGAGATTTTGAAGGTTTTACAGAGTATTATCTGTAAAATAATATAATAACTGACATATTATCTAGCTTACCAAAACCAAGAATGATACTAACGAATAGTGGTCTACCGTTTAAAATGTTAAAACCGACACAATGCTCTTATTACTTTTAACTTATTAAAGTATAATCAATTACAAACACAGAACACTTAATAATAAATAAACTATGCTTACTTCATAGGCTTCAGAAACTTCTTGAAATTTTTTGTTAGCACTAGGATCTCCCTTGTTGGTATCTGGATGAAACTTTTTAGCGAGTTGATAATAAGCTTTCTTAATTTCTTTTTGAGAAGCGTTTTTTGGTACTCCTAATATGTTATAAAAATCCTTCTTATTGTTCAAATAGCTTGTAGTGTGTATACTTTTATAACTATAAGGATTCTCTGGTTTGACAACTGAAACACGAAACAGTTACAAATATTAAATATGGCGTCCATAATAATAAAATTGAACAATTAATTAATACTTACAGTGATTAAATAAACGTTTACTACTTAATGTAGAATAAGCGAGCGACGATGAAAATATGTGATGATGGTTTAGTTTTTGGAAATTACACAACAGTGACGGAGAGTAATGTTTATAAGAAATCAAAAGTTTTATTTTCATACTGTTCATTGTGATCAAATTTTAATCGTCCTGTATTTGTGGTCTGGTAATGTGGAGATGCATTAATAAAGTCACAGTCCGCTTAAAAATATAAAATAATTACAAATGAACAATACCGAAAATGAACAAACTATGAAAGTAAGAACGCGTGATAATACGTAGTATGATACTGCAGATGCCGGCCAGGCAACAAAATATCGATTTATCAATAACATCGATATTGTGATATAATCGATTACAATTGTAAAATTATCGTATTACATCGGCAGAGGGGCACAATTTTATTTATGTACTATAGATACCATAGATAGCATATTATCTATAGCCGTAGTGGTAAACATGCAATTTGAAACGATATTCTGGGATTTTGGTAATATATTTATTCGTGAGTTGTAGGGTCTTTATGAGTGTTACTTAAAACAATTAGACATTATATCGATATAAGGTGCACAGTGTACGATAAATTGAAAGTTGTCCATTATCTGCCGTCCCTAAAGTACTTATATAATGGAATGAAGTTAGAAATGTAATAAATATTAGTGTACCTCACAGATATTAAAGAATTATTTAATATCTATGATGTACCTACGCCACAGTTTTCTACAATATAGTAGGTAAAGACTAGATGAAGTGTAGTAAAGCCGAAGTCTGTGACCTACGCGATTTTCATTTTTGATAAGTGATTGGACATTTTATCAGTATATTAAAATATTATAGTAGTGCACGGTTGTACTGTTATATGACAAAACACTTTTTGCTATTATAGTGGTTAATGATCAACTCTGTACTCACTATTCAATAGTCTATTCAATATTGTAGACTTATAGACTGTAGTTCAGTTGTCACTATTGGTCTATAGCTAAATATATTATCTATAGCTACTGCCTACCAGCATAGTGGCATTGGTAGTCGCATAACCAAAATATAATTTACTGTAGGTACCTATCTATAGTATAATACAATTATACATAATATATTTATTATCTTGGGACTTGTATTATATATCAGTCTTATACACTATAATACCGTGGCGTATACGATAGTGGGCGGCATCATTGCATCAATGATAAAGAAATAAATGTCTTTATTTTAGAATTTTAGGACTTAGTATTCATAGTAATATTCATAGTCGTCAGTCGATGCTTAAGAACAATTATTGCTAAAGCTATACTTATGAGTCAAATGAGATTCATAAACGAGACTGGCTTTATAAAGGAAAAAGTATAAGGTACTTAAATTAAGGTTGGTCGAGACCTACCTTTAGTGCCGGTCATTTATTAAGGAGTAACAATTAGGCAATTCAATTCACACGTTGTATCCGCCTCGGGCACGGTTTAAGATAGAATTCTATCTAAAACTGTGGTCTGGCGCGGAACGTTCATGTGTGTGAGTATGTCAATCGATATTAATGTGAGTGAGCTATAATTTTACCCTCAGATAAAGATATTTACGCATACGAATGCACAAGTAACATGTCAGTGATTGACTTCGATGACTATAATTATCGAAGCACTATTTTGATGAACAAAAATGCTTTTACAGGAAAAACTCTTACGCCTGTTGATGCGTCGGATTTTGGTAATTTTTTTCATCTGAAAGATGAGAAGTTTATGCAGGTCAGATCAGAGCTCGAATTATTATTTTACTTTAAATAGTAGTAAAAAAATATCTTATGTTATACATTTATAGATTCTGAGTGAAACGATAAATGTATTGATTTTACAATGATGTGTGTTTTTCTTTTTTTTTTTTGTCTGTTTACACGATAAGTAGTCGAAATAATGCTTCAATTTTAAACCTCAGTATCTTGTTCGATTGGAAATGAATATCGTTGGTGCATTGAGGAGGTCAACATTTAAAATTCAAAGTAATTTTCAAAAGCGCCAAGAAAAACAAAAGAAAAAACGGGAATTTTTACGCAAAATCGATTTTTCACAAAATTGAATTTGGTTTTTGGTGTAACTTTAAAACAAATGATCGTAGATACATGATATTTTCACTTGTTTTTTTTAAATTTGTATTTTCTATACACGATAACATTTTCAAAATTTTTTGGTTTATTTTGAACTATTTAGGGACATTTTCATTTTCCATGTTTTTTATTTTTTTTTTCTAAAAATATCAATAAAATGTTATTTGTTGGTTAAAAAAGCTTGAAAATTTAATAGAAAACTAATAGTATATTGTTTCAAAGGCAGATGAAAAATATTAAAAATTCTTCGTCACAGTTTTTTTTTATAAGCATTTAAAGTTCAAAAATTGACAAAATATGGAAAAATCACGAAATTAGCAAAAACATTTTAAAATGTAATACAAGATTCCTTATAAGATTATCTACCTTTATGAAAAGAAAAAAATTCTATAAGAAAGTCAAATTAAATTTTTATGAGTGTTAGAAATTCAAATTTTTACAACATTGGATATTTACTCTATTTCTCATGTAGCGATTTCCTTATTTTGTTGTAATTCAAAAACAAATTACTGATGATACATGAAAATTTCACTGAATGTTTATATTAGCATTTCCTATACACCATACAATTTTGAAAATATTTTGACTCTTTTTGAGCTGTTAACGGACATTGTCAGTTTTCAATTTTTTTAGGTTTTTTTTTTCAATAAATATCAATAAAGTTTTATCTGTTGGGTCAAAAAGTGTAAAAATTTAATACAAGACTCCTGCTATATTGTTACAATATCAGTTGAAAAATATTTAAAATACATAGGCTCAATTTTTTTTTATCAGCATTTAAAGATCGAATTTTGACAAAATTTATCAAATTTAAAATTGAATAATTATTTTGTAGTTAAAAATGTATAAAATGTTCAACTTTTATATCTAAGGATTGAAAATTTATAAAAAGATTCCACGTAAGTAGTTAATTCTGTTACCAAAAAATCTAAAAAATACATAAACCCAGTTTATTTTTATGGTTATTTTAAGTTCAAATTTGGACCAAATTACATAAAAAAACCTAGAATAATAACTATTTTAGTTATTTTGTTGTGATTATATAATATTATTCGTGGGTACATGAAACTTCTAAAGTAAGTACACTATTATATATCTATGATAGTATCAGGGTTTGTTGTTGATGTATAACGCGTTATAATTACCTAATGGATATTGTGATATGATTAATTTGGAATTTATTATAGGTACTAGGTAGGTACTTATTATAGGTCAATTTTTTATAATACCTTGATAAGTATGTAATATGTCTTATACCTAGACTGACAAACCGTCTCCGCTCAGAATCGTTTTTCTTATACAATGATATTATATCATTGAATTCAAATTTAATATCATCCATTATACAGTGACCCACTTGTAACCTACTGTACGTCTGTACAGTAGAGCACCTTTTTAATTATACAATGATTGATAATTTTAGAGATTTTGATAAATGTTGATAAATTCGAACTTTAAATGCTTATAAAAAAAAATTGTGCCTATGTATGTATTTTTAATATTTTTAAACTGCTATTGTAACAATATATCAGGAGCCTTGTATTACATTTTCACACTGTTTAGCCCACAAAATAAAATTTTATTGATATTTATAAAAAAAAAACTAAACAAATTGAAATTTGAAATTGTCCGTAAACAGCTCAAAATGAATCAAAATATTTTGAAAATTGTTATGGTGTATAGAAAATAAGAATACAATTATTCAGTGAAATTTTCATGTATCTACAGTTACCTATTCGTTTTTGAATTACAACAGAATAAGGAAATCGCTACGTGAGAAATCGAGTGAATATCCAATGTTGTAAAAATTTGAATTTCAATCACTCATAAAAATTTTATTTCACTTTCTGTTAGAAATTTTTTTTTGACAAAAGTAGAAAAAATTATCATGAATCTTGTATAACATTTTCAAGTCTGAGTTTTAAAAATAAAAACTTTTATGAATTTCTAACTAAAAATAATTTGTGAATTTTCGTCATGTTTACGTATTTTGTCAATATTTGAACTTTAAATGCTTAAAAAAAAATTGCGACGACGGACTTTTAAATTTTAATATTTTTCATCTTCATTTGAAAAAATATATTAGGAGCCTTCTATTAAATTTTCAAGAGTTTTTACCCAACAAATAAAATTTTATTGATATTTATAGAAAAAAATTATTAAAAAAAAATCGAAACTGAAAATGTCCGTAAACAGCTCAAAATAAAACTTGAAAATGTTATGGTGTATAGAAAATTCTAATACAAACATTCAGTAAAAATTTGATGTACCTATTTACGGTCATTTGTTTTAGAATTATACCTACTAAAAACTAAAGTCAAAAACCTATTTGAAATTGGAAACTATTGGAAATTTTAAATGTTGACCTCCCGAATGCACTAACTAAATTCACTTTCCCATCGAACAAGATACTGTTGAAGAAAATAGAAGCAGTTCTACTACCCCAAACAGTGACGCAAACACAACAATTTAAAAATTAAAAATTAAAAAAAACACACATGATTGGAAAATCAATACATTCATCACTCCGCTCGGAATCTAAAATTGTATATAATAAGACTAATAAGTACTTACCTACCTAATTTTTTTTGAAAAATTAAAAATAATTACCCAATTTGTAAATCTAATTTTTAAACACATTTTGTTCAAAAAAAAAACGTATATTTAAATCAGGTAGTTTATTTTTTTAAATATTATTATTTTGAAGCAAATTAATTTTAAACGTAATAACTTTTTTGAAAATATTGTGTTTGGAAATTTCCTGACATGAGAATATTTCTTAAATTATTTATCATCCATGACATTTTCATAATTCCAGTCATATAAGTAATATAATTTTTTCAGGCCATTCTGTTACAGTATGGATATGTATATAATATTATATACGATACGTATTATTCCCAATATTTTCTTTTAAATTTAAATTATTGAAATATAAAATAATACTAAAGTTAGAAACAACCTCGTTGGCTAACGAACAGTACCTAATCATTACTCATAATATTGAATTCACTATAATTTAGTTATTTTCCGGCAGTTCTAATGTGTGGTACCTATATACTAATTTCAATCACCTTACAAAATAAATATCCTATATAAACCAAAATTTTTCTTGGTGCTAATTTTTCCGAGCTAAAGCCTAATTATTCGTCTAATTTGACTGGAATAAATAGTCAAATTGGCCATAGTCTTTTAATTCGATCTGAATTTATTTCTACCTACTTTATAAATGCGTTGCTACACACGCCACACGACATAAAATCCCTGACAGGACAATAACGTTTTACGTTTCCAGAAATAAAATATTTTTAATTGTATTGATGTCCATATCGTATAATTATAATTTATATCTATAAATTATGTTTTTGGTATCTTTTAAATGGTAGTGTACTTGTGTTTATATTGTGTAGTTTGTGAATTGTGATGGGCATTAGCCGCCCAATTATCGTCCAATATATTATTATGAAATCAAAAAAAACAAATACAAATACAAAAATTATAGATACATTTGCTAGCCATAGTAGCGGCCCAACACTTACAATCTGGTACTGGCCCACTGTGCTATAGGTTACAAAAGTGCACACAAGTCGAATTTATTTTGATACCTGGTTTGTCGAAGGGAATTTAAGACTCCCACCGGAATTTTTTAAGCAATTATAGGTACGCCATTCGTGTACAAGAAATTCTGTATTTGTAACATCAATATATTGTATATAATGTAATGAACAAATATTTAGTATTATATTAAAATAATGTCAAGTTCGTGATTTATTTTGTACTCAGATCCGGTATTTTTACATTTAGATTTTGAATTAGCAGTCATAAATGAGGCAAACAATGTTTTTGGAACTCATATTACTTATTATTACTATTAACGGATGTTTTTATCATTAGTGTTAATCGACACATAGAAAAATTCAGAAACTTGGTTTGTCTGGAATTTATAAATAAGATAATAATTTTCGAAAATATTGCGGCTTAATTGATGGATTAGCTTTTTTACCACAGAATAAGTAGGTACTGGACGGAATGATATGTCTAAAAGAAATAATACCTCCAGATGCAGGAGACCTTTTAACTTATTTCGATTCATATTATATAAATGGTACCTACCTTTTGGATTGTAGGCGTGTAGGTAGTCCTATTGATGTATAAAAAAATTAATTATATTTTTTAAATAAATATTAATAATATATGAAATGCCTATATAATATAATATTATATGTATTATGTATACCTATACCTATATAATAATATTATATTATATTATATTATACTATAAATGAAAATTTAATTTACTTAATTGAATCTAGGCCTACCCGATAGACACACCTCTGTCCTCTGTATCTCATTTTTTAACTATTATAACTCCTTATTGCCAGTGTTGGCCTGGCACACCAAAGGGCCCATGGATCAGTTTTTTTTAAGAGGCCCCATAATGAAATGCAAAATTTACTTGACATTTTGGTGAAAAAATGCTCACCAAATTTTTTCATTTAAAAATACATTTATTCAAATTCTGATTTTTAGAATTTTTAAGTATACTTACCTAAAGACCATATTATATTAAAATTCCTGATATTTTTTGAACCACTATTAAAAAATGTCCTGAGAGTTTCTTTTTTTACTGCAAATTATTTAGTAGATGATGTTTAGATGTTTAGATGTTCAGGATGTTTTTGTAAATGTAGATGTATCTAAATCAAAATTCTAATAAGTAGTTGCTGAATTATTATAATATTTATACTAAGGATAAAGATTCTTAAATATGATTTTACAATAAAAAAAACTAAAAGTAACTAATATTAGATGTAGTAGGTACCTATTCACTATTCAGTGTACCTACCTACATAATAATGTTTACAAATTATTTATCTTGATAGATCAATGGTAGGTAATTAATACTAACTCTCGTCTGATCCCATTGTTTTTAAGAAGAGATATTAAACCTAACTTGCAGTGGCTCAATTAATTCAAAAACCCTCCTCCTACTTATTACTTGACACTTGTACTATTATAGTGACCTGCTCACACTATAATAGGCAAGTATCTGGACCCTGTAAAGAAATATTGCATTAGGTTAAATACTAACATATATCGATAAATACTTTACGGGGTCTTTACTCCCTATATAGATCAGGCACACGCCAAGCAAATAAAAAAATGTTCGAGAACCTAAAAAAGAAACGGAGGGGCCCCAGCCATGGCCAGGCCGACACTGCTTATAACCTTCTATTATAAATCCTTATAACCTTCTAACTCTTATAATCATATTTTCTTTTTTGGACTTGGCAACCTATAGACCATGGGACCATGACCACTGATTATCAATACCAGATACCTATAGGAGACGAGTAGTCCACGTATTATTTTGTACTATAATTAATATGTCCATATTGTCCATGTTCGGATGTTCTATACCATAATTTTGAATTATATAGGTACCTACAGCGTTCGATTTGTAATATACATTTGCTATAGATAAATAGTACAAAATATAGTTAACCATGATTTATTAATATTTAAAATATTTTCATTTTTATTTATGATGATCACTAGTGAGTAACAATTTTTTTTATAGAAAATCATAGTAGGAAAAATATCACTTCCATAAGTAATTAATATAATATTATTTAATTTTTATTTTAAGACTATTATTATGTAATTATTCATAATCAATGGTATTACCTACCTATGTTTGTAATGTTATTACAATTATAAATTATTTACAATTTAATGATAACAGTGAAATACAGCATTATGGGTTGATGGAGTTGAATTTTGAATAAAAATGTTTAAAACAATTATAAATGTACAGCTTATGAATAAAAAAAAGTAGTGTTGTTTTTTACACATTTTAATAACAATTTATTGGCTTGATAAAATGTAGTTAAAAAAATGTGTCATGTGTGGTTTCCAAGCTGCAACACACTGCTTGTGGACCAGTACAGTTGTTGGCCGCAATAATTATAATGCTGTTCCATAACAGAGTAGTCTTTGGAGTGAGTAGTTAGGAAACTGATAGGTGGTAGATTCTATTTCATATTTTATAGTGATACACAATAAATTAAGACATGTAACCATAGGCTCAATTAGGGGAGCTGGAGGGGCTAAGCCCCCTAAAAAACATTCAAAGCCCCGCCCCAAAAAAACCATGCATAACTTTACATTATTATATTGCTAAATAAAAAAAAAATATGGGATAACTACTCAAAAAAAAGTTATAAAATATATTTTTCTTATTTTTTTTTTAGTAACACAATATTATAGCACGCACCTAGTATATGATCTATGAGCGCGCTACAGTTGTTGGTGATAAAATATTATCGCCGAGCCCTGACTATATTTTATATTATAGATTCTATTCTCGGACTTGGTCGTTATGCGAGTGCCCGCACTTGATAAGGATGATAACTTTAATAATTCGCATTTTTTATAGATGGTGAAGGGTGGAAAAAGAGTTTCTGAGAGGCAGTGATTGAAAAATACATGGGAGGGGCTGAAGCCCCCCGAATTTTTTACTCTAATTACGCCTATGCATGTAACATACACAGTAACAAATAAAAATATTTTATAAATGTCATAGAATTCAAAAAACCATACATTGTTTACAACTGTAATTATGTAACCGTTATAGTGTGTAGATAAAATAAAAAAATTATTCTAAGAATGCTGTAAACCTGTAAATCACTTCCTTCAATTCTAAATAGTTTTAGAAGGCTTAAAAAAAAAAACAAAAAAAGTTAGTAGTAATTTTTGAAAAAAATCTTTTTTATTTTTTGGTATTACTCAAAAATTAATAACCGTAGACCCATGAAGTTTTAACCAAATATTTGTATTAGCATTTTCCATAAATGTTAACATTTTTGAAATGTTTTTACTCTTTTTGATTTAATTTGTAGTATAATTATTATGTTTTATTGTTTGTTAATTAATAGACGTATTGTTTTCATTATTTAATTAAATCTAAGCAAGTACATAAGTGTTAATCAGTGAACTTTTTCAACATAATATATTTTATTTTGTAATATTAAAAAATCATTATTATTTATTCAACAGCACAACATTTGTTAAACCTACTTTGCTACTTGTATAACCTATCAATTAACAAAATAGAAATCTAAATTTGATGCATTAACAATCTTGGATACTACAGTTCATAACATATTTGTTATTGATAATAACTCAAGTTTTTTACTAACTTTTGTATGTATGTTTCTCAAATTAAAAATGTATATTTAGACTTGCAATTTAACATATTCTCAATTCTGTTAATAATTCTACCTAAAGTAATTTACAAAGCAGATTGTTAAGTTTTTTTTAAGGAACTCGGAATTTATTTTGTCATTAAAAATATAATAGCGCAATGATAAAATGAAAAGTGTATTTAAAAACAAACAAAAAAATGTACTAATAGTAATAATAAGAAGAGTCAAATATAGATAAGAGATCACAATTAATACTGGGACTAATAGTTTACATTTTAACACATATAAAATAGCTATCTTGATTTTCATCAAAAATAATTATTAAATAGTATTATATAACATTAACAATACAGGCAAATCATTGTACAAATATCAGTATAAAACATCGTAAAAATAAAGTTAAAAATGGCTTTCAAAAAAAAAAATTGTAATTAATTATTTTAATTGAAATAGTTGAAGAATTTGTTGCGTTACAAGGTTGACTTAATTTGAGGATTCCATTTTTATGTAGTCCTGAGGAAATAAATGCACAAAATACATATAAAAATATATACATGTTAATTTGTTCAAATACTAACCAAGTAGCTCTACAAAAACTGTAATAGCATATCTTCTATTAGTTACGTGAATAGGGCAAATATCAGTAAACATCAAATGTGAAATATTTTTAGGAGACAGTTTTAAAATATTGGATATTATTTCCTTAATATCAATAGATAGTCGATGACATTCTTCAACTTGTTCAATAATACTGCAAATAAAATAACATAATTTTGTTTTAAATTATAAATTTATGTTAACTAAAATATTTACTTTTGAATATCCTGCACATTATTGGGTCCAATTTGATTCAACACAACATTTTCTTGGTCAATGTTTATTTCAACATGGTCAATTAGAGATTTTTCAGGCGGAAGCAATTTAGGTAATCCAGATTCTGTTATTATGGACAAAGAGGGCATAGGACAAATATTTGCCGTATTGAATGCAGGCCCCTTAGTCGAGTTGTGTTGTTCAATTATTGTCTTATCATTTAAAAGTTTATCAACTTCACTAAGAGATGGAAATGCCATAAGAGGTTGTGGTACATCTAAATGAGACAGTTCAGGGCCAACCAACGTTTTATGGGCTACTAAACTCTGATTCACTCTATAATTTATTTTGTCTTTAAATTTTTTCCACTTAGTCTGATCAATTTTTGAGATGGGTGAAATTTCTCTAAAACTATCTTCCAAATTATTATTCATCTAAAATTGGATAAATATACTTTTTACTTGAAAATTGTAAATTATTCTAATAATATTTTTGCAACTATAATTTTTTATAAAATTATATTTATGTTAATAGAAAGAATTATGTTTACCTCATTAATTGTGTCTCGCCACACTAAACTATTATTGGTTAAACCTAGAATATAGTTTGTTTGAAAATTATTATTAAAATATTAAATTTTTTATTATCTTATTGAACAATAATTATATTTATTCTTTGTTCGAGTTCAGAAAAAAGGAAAAAAATACTAAATTTACTAGATGTAAAAATGTTGCTCTAAACATAAATTGTATCGTATAGAAGCACGCTCTTACTGTCAAATGTTAACCATACCAGAAAAATATAATTTTGGTTAGTAGTTTAAATAATAAATAATATTTTTTTAGTAACAACTCCACAGTGCACATAGTATGCAAATATTTATTAATAGTGGTTACTTACATTCTTCAACTAAAGGAAGCAGAGATAAATGAGGTAATGAATTGTTTTTGCAATGATTATAAATACTGTAAAAACACAACTTATATTAATATAAATAAGATTATTTTAAATGTTTTATTATAAAAATAAATAACAGCAATTCCATAACTATTAAATATATTGTTTTGATGATGATAGTTAATAGCTGTTATATTTTACAAATTTAATAGACTAAAATAATGAAAAAGAGATTCATAGCAATATTTTGAGCATGCAATATTTATTATCCAATATTTTGATTTAGAAAAATTAGTTATGAGAAATAAATATCATCCTAATTAAACAACCAAGTATTTAAAATATTAAAATATGAGAAAAAAAATGTATCACGTACCAAATGTTTGAAGTATTGCTGTAATTAAATATTTCATTGTTAGTTTTGTAACTATCCATAGTCATTTCATTATTAAAAACTGCATCTAGATCCTAATAAAAAAAATATTTAAAATTAATAATTTTAGAATTAGTTAATTATGACTAATACTAATTGTAATTAAGTATAGATATATATATTTATATTATTTATATAAAATTAAATTAAACTTTGTCTTCATTTTAGGTGCTTCACTGAATGTATTGATTTTACAATGATCTGTCCATACACGGAGAGTTATAGAAAAAATGCTTTGATTTTAAGCTTAGAGAGGGGTTTCTGATAGCGAACTGTACTTAGTTAGTACTTTTGAGAGGTCAAAATTAAACATTTTTAAATTTAATTTTAATAGTAAGTATAGTAAGTTTTGAAAATGTAATACAAGGTTTCTCAAGGTTTCATAAGTAGTTCAAATTGGAACCGAAAAATGTAAAATATATATAACTTTAGTCTTTAATTTTTATTATAGATATTTGAAGTTAAAATAAAAATGAAATTCAATATTTAAACAAAGAATAACAATTTTAGTTATTTTGTTTTAATTCAAAAAATATTTTTTTGTGGGTATTAAAAGTCTTATGTATATTATTATATTTTATATACACAATGACATTTTCAAAACATTTAGATTAATTTTATTGCCTATTTATAGTTTATACTGTAAACTATAAATAATACAATTAATTACTATAAAAATTAATAGCAATATATTTACATGAAAATAGGCTGATCGGAGTGATCAGAATCCCTTTTTGTATGCAGTGATTTATCATTACATTGACCTACTCTATAACGAGGTACACTCAACTCCTACTGTACAACAGAATGGTTACCTATTTTTCACCCCCCTTTATTTTTCATGAATGACAAAACTATTAAATACAAATACAGCTTATGGGGAACAATTAAAACATAATTTGTGCTAAACATATATTATGTAATTAAAAAAAAAAAAATTAGAATAATTATTTTCTAAATATATTAAAAATATACAATACTTTGTTTTCTTCTAGTTCAATACTTAATGTAAGCACAGCAAATGGTATAATAAGTTTATTACGGTACATAGCATATCTTATAGGTAAATGGTCTATAGATTGATTAGTAAACTTCAACATCATACATTCAAGTGGTCTCTAATAAATCAAATAATAATTAGGTAAATAATAATAACTGCTTGTATACAATAGTTAAAAGTATTACATCAAACATTTCTCCTTGAAGTTTCTTCAACCGGTTTCTAAGTACTTTACTGTTTTGTTCAATGAGTCTTTTCTTAAACTGTATGAAACAATTCATGATCAAAAAAATATTAATAATATTTATTATTACAACCTATAATTAAAAGGTATTTTGGATGTTCTGTATGAATTTGTGAATTTGGTTATTTCTACACTATTGAAAATATTCTTAGCGGTAAATTGTTAATCTACATAAAACAATTAATATATTATAACAGACCATTTTTAGTTACTATAATACATTCATATTTTGTTATAAAAATCAATTGTCTTTACAGAAGTTTAAATTAACAAGTTATTTTTAATTTCTCAAATAATTAGAAAATAGTAAATTTAAATTGGAACAATGTGCATCTAATTTCTTAATCAAATGGTTAAGCTCTCCCCAATTATTTAATCACATTTTAGATTAAAATATTAATTATCAGGGTTTGTAATGATACAATTTTAGGCCCCTCTACCCATAAAAATGTCCCTAGTTTTGCCAATGACTAAAATACATGGAGGTATTTTACCAACTGGAAAAATAAATAGTATAGTATAAATTACTAAATAGATAGGTATAAAAATTATACTACAGTAAACTAAAAAATTATTTACTTTTTTTTTTGGAACTACACCAGGTATTTTTCTTTTTAGTGATTGATTTGTTAACCTTTCGGGGGAACAATGTTCGGTAGGCATCTGAAAAAAAAATATTTTATTTTATCTGTTTCATATTATTTATCTATTTTGATACAATTTTAAGGCAGCGATAACACTTAATCATACAATAGTACCTTAAACTGATTTTGTTTTTCTTGTAGATTTGTTGAATGCTGAGGTATTTCCATTAATGATTCAACTCTAATTTGTTCAACTTGTAAATTTAGTGTACTTTGTGGGTGTTCTATTATTTGTTGTGGTTCTACATTTTTAGACTGTATATTAAAATCCATTAATTGTTGTTCGAAATCATTTTTAGGCAAAAGAGGTATCTCCACGAGAACATCTTGATTGATAACTGGAAACTCTTCAATTGGTTGAATGAATAACTAGAAAAAATAATATACTAATAATAATAAATCAACAATACAAAAATGTTGAATTTACAGCTTGTAGTTGGTCTAACTCCGATATTTTATTAACATCACCAATATTTTCTTCAGTGTTCAAACTTAATATATTTTGTCTATGTAGTATTCGATCATTAAAAGCCTATATAAAAATAATAAGCAATTTATTATTGAAAATTGTACATAAATATCTGAGGCACAATATATGTTATTACTAGTCTTACTCTGCTATGTACTTATCATAGTACTTGCAAAAGTAATTTATTATTATTTTCAATTTAAAATAGTATATTCATAATTTTTAGCACATAAAATATCTCATACAAACATTTTAAAAATGTATTAAATTAAATACATTTAATTGAAGCAGTAACTTCTCAACTATAATTATTTCTGGAGTACTTATGTCATACTTCATAAATTATTAAAATATACTTACTGTTTGGTTTAGAACATTTGTCTGAAGTAATTTCATTTCTGCAGCATTTGAAGTGTGTCTTGGATTATTCTATACAAATTAAGATTTTAAGGAACAAAACACAAAATTAGGTTAGGTTTTGTACAAAAATATATTTAAGATGAAAATAATTAACAATGTATTGTTTTATTATCATAACTTTGTATTTGTAGAATATGTATATTTTTTACAAACAAAAGTTACTACAATGACCTAAATTTTTTTTTTAATACTTAAACCAACATAGGTGTAGATAGTTAAAATTTAAATGGTTCATATAATTATTACTATGGATCCTTTTTATAGAATTAATATATACAGTTAGTATTTTATCATACATTTTTTAATCTGCTTTATTGATTAAATCTTAACATAAATAACCTATTAACTATAAATCTAGTAGTCTCACTATCTATTTATTATAAAAATAAAACTTTAAACTGTATACTAATAGTTTTCTTTTTATAAATTACATACTGAATAGTTGAATAATTTTAAAATAAATATAATTTAATAATTGATTATTATATTTACTAAGCATATTGTTACCTACAACACATTTACACATATACCATTATTGTAAAGTTTTATCTAGTATCTACACAAATTTTATTTATATGTTAAAATTTTGTGGGTATCCAACTGTCAGTTCTATTTGTTTTACAACCAAATACTATATTGTTTTAAACCAATAGCTCTACTATCTTAGTCCGCGATATGAAAACTGACCCCTGCAACCCGCGCGCCATACCATACGGATACCAAGCTTGGAATCCATGGGTTCTTAAGCTGAACCAGTTAAAGCCGCCACGTTGCGAGAGAGCTAAACTTATCGACTAAATATATAACACATACGAGCACGTGCCAGTTTTCGTATCGCGGACTATAGAATCTAATATTATTTATAATTTATATCATTTAATAACATGCCACTTACTAAAATAACACCTATCTCATTGAGGTCTGTTTCTAGGCTAGATACTTGGTGTTGATTTAATGATTGAACTTTCTGGCCTAAAATAAATAATTTAAATTAAATATTGATATTCAATTGGATTAGACAAAAAAAAAACATTAATCATTGGTAGGTAAATGTGTTGAACAACTAAATTCACAAATGCTGTTAAGATTCATAAAGGAATATTAATCCCCTAATGCAGCGGTTCCCAACGGCGCCCTTTTTGAACTAAGGTTTTTTTTAAAGGCATCCTTCCCAAGTCATAGCATGACTAATCAAAAGAAATAGAAAAAATTAATAAAATCTAAAAAAAATTGTAATGGGTAATATGAAAGTATGGATTTAATTAAAATTATACATTTTTATTTACATAATTGTAATTCTCCATAATCGGTTTTCAAATACATTTTTGGACCGTATAATATTCTACCGCAGCATGGCACCCCTTTAAAAACACCGGGGCACATACTTTGAGAACTGCTGCCTTAACGGCATAATGTTTACTATTTGTTTGAAAAAGTAATAAAAAAAATATATTACTTTGAGTATGTTCTTTGTTATGTGATTCATTAGTAGCATCAGATTCCATTTTTTGTTTCTTTTTAGGCATTTTGTCTCTAAGTTAAAATCAATTTATATAGATAGTAGTACATAATTCAAAGTATTAAATCAGGCAACTTATAAAATTACTAGCCATTCTGAAATAAGCTGATAAATAGCATCATTATTGTTTTAAGTAACTGAAAGTAGATAGGCAATTTGAGAAATGCCTGGACATTTTATAGAATGCTCAAGTCATGATAGTAGGTCATAGTGCTTAATATTATCTAACAGTACAGGAATAAAATATTTTCAATAGTAATATTATATACCATTTATGGCAATTTCATAAGACATTTTTAATCAGCTGAAAAATGTTTTATTATGATATATAAAATATTGCGCTGACATCCTTTTAATATTAGTACTATATATAAAATGCTGGATAATAGATAACGGTTTACACTGTAACTGATATATTTTATATTCAACAGTATATTATTATCATCACTCACTGAAAATGAACTCAACTTACTATATCTTTAAATAGGTATTAAAATTTTAAAGAAAATTTAATGAAATTACTAGACATTATGTATGATGTATACTTTATTCCTTTGCAGGACATGTTAGGTAAACAGTAAGCACTATTACATAGGAATTTTATTAAATACCAGACTAAATACTTTTACTAGTAACATAAATAATTCTTATAATTACATAAAATATATAGAGGAGTACTTACACAGCTATTTTGTTCTTGTATAAAGCCTTTGTTGAATTGGTACAATAACCTAAACATTTTTTTTTTAATCATAATCAATTTAAATATTTATATCAATATATATATATAATATGTATAGTATATATATGTAAGACTTTCATGTGGGTATAATGTCCTCTTAAAAGTAAAAGCTAAATTGTTGTTGCTCATTTTTTTCATACATAATTTTAAGTCATTACAAAACAAAAATATATAATATTTTTAACCTTATAATTAGATTTCTTTTTTTTTTGTATATAATGCAATACATTTTTTAATTTCATATTCAAAAGCAGAATATTTTTCTGAGAATTTTAATACAAAGTTAAAATGTCAAACAAGTATTTATTTGGTTATAGGTATTTAAAATTTAGATAAGCGGAATGCTACGCCACACTTCCACTACTCCACTAATATATTTAAGTTATAACTTATAAGTAACTAACAACCCGTTTGAAATTCACAATAAAATATTCTGCTTTAGAATATGATATTAAAAATTTAAATAAACAAAAAATATATAATATAATTACTAAAATATATATAATTTTCAAAAATGTTGCTTTTTAATAACTTCATATTATGTAAGAAATATATTTCCAGAAACGTTGATACTTTTCAAGTAAAAGAATGTTTACCTTTGAAGAACCTCTCTGTACAAGTTATAAATATAAACTTACTGTAATACGCTTTTGTAGCATTTGTATGTATTACAATTAAACCAATAAAAGCTTGACTTATCAAAACAAATGGATATTTAATGCGTTGAAAATCATTTTGCAAAAACTTTAAGGTTGACGAAATAGCAACTAAATCATCAAAGTTAAGCAAAAGTATAATTAATTGATCACTGAAACAAAAAATATAAATACATATAGGTATTATATAGGTAATATTATTATCAAAAATTATTATACAAAATCATCATTTAACAAAAATAAATTTTATTTATTATTTATTTTAATTTATGTTTACTTAAAATTTTTTTTATTTCCATTGAACTGATGACCGTTTGATATTATATTATTATTTGTTATTAAAATCAAATACAAATATTGACCATATTTAATAGGTACCATATTACTGAAGAAAAAAATTGAAACTGCTAACACTTAACAGCTGGCTTAATAAGATACGCTTATAATATTATATACGTATATATAGCAAATATATTTAAAATCGGCATAACTGGAAGACTAATTTAATGACTAGAAAAAAATAACAGACTGATTATAAGTACAACGGAATTCTTAAATCATGATTTTTCAATTCTTCATAGGTAAATGTTATTTTTCTGAATTGGGTAAATTCATAATTTTAACTAATTAGTAATTACTAGATACCTTTATATTATGTAGTTGATTTTCAATCGAAAAGGAAACCACGTCAAGTAAGGAAATTATTAATCAATGTAATGACTAGGCATCGGTTTTATATGTATAAAATTAAAATATGTATTTGTATAAAAAAAGTTAAAATGTACAACAATACCAGTGGCTTAATAATATCTCACTGCATTAAGCAAGAATATATTTTACTATTAAAAAACTATTATTGGGTATAAAGGAAAATAGTAATATAGTTTTAAAAGATACAAATGTACAATCATAGTGATTAATAATATATTATTATATTCTTATTCCTTACCACATCCAGGGGACATCTAACTTCCGAAAATCACTATTCGTCTTAAAATATCTCTCGAGACATTTTCCATCAGTAAACACGTTAAGTGGCACATTCAACATACCGTTGGGATCCACACCACGGATCAGCCGATGGAAGTGTTCATTATAAAAATCCATGATCTGTAATGACGACGACGAATGGCCGAGTACAGAGTACAGACTGAATAGCTATAGCACAACAATTTTAAAACAGACCGATTTTTGAACACCGACAAAAAATCGTCTAATCAACTGTCAAGTACCGACTATCGAGTAGGTACCTCAAACCAGTAACCACGGCTAACAGAACAACAGCCAACTGTGAAAAGACAAAAGTTGCAACTCAGTACCGAGTACTCGCACTTGGCAATAATTAATAAAAATATGGAAATCCCGATTTTAGCGGCTTACAGTTGCCAGTAGTGGGCCGCCGGCCGCCTGTCAATAGCGTCGGCTAGACTCGTCAGACGTAAATTGTAGACGGGGAACATTGTATTTTATATGTCTGTGTAAGAGCGAGCAAACACTTAAAGTTTCAATGATACCTAGATATTTTTGGTAAATTAGGTACCTATAATAACCATGGAGAAATTAATTTTAGTATTTTACTATGGTCATAACTCATAACATTAAAGACATTACATTATACTATTATAAAATATAAAGTGCATTAGTAGCATTACTGCTAAATTTAACTTGAACAATATTTGATATTATATTATGTGTAGGTAATTCAGTAGGTAGGTACATTATAATAGGTAATGAATTTGATTTGGTGTTATGCCTTATTTAGTTGTTGGTCATTATGACATTATAGGTAAACAAATACATAAAATTAATTAAATTTTTTTCTGGATTTCATCATTGATGAAACTATTAAAGCATATTATATTTATTATATATTATTTTATGTATAAATTATATAAAGTATAATAATATATAAGGTAGGTACTGCAACAAAGTAATTTAAATTTTTTTTCTAAGTAGGTATCTGTTATTTAAAACCAAATACTAATTTTCAAATATGTTAGTAACTCTTTTTAGTTTATACCTATATTTTAGTTTCTGAGTGAAACGATGAATGTATTGATTTTACAATGATGTGTGTTTTTTTTTTACTTTTTTTTTTTGTGTCTGTGTACACGATTAGTAGTCGAAATAACGCTTCGATTTACAACTTCGGTAACTTGTTCGATGGGAAAGTGAATCTAGTTGGTACTTTTGGGAGGTCAAAATTTAAAATTCCCAATAGTTTTCACAAGTGACAAGATTAACAAAAGAAAAATTAAGGAAAAACGGGAATTTTTAAGCAAAATCGATTTTTCACAAAATTGACTTTGGTTTTTGGTGTAACTTTAAAACAAATGACCGTAGACACTTGACATTTTCACTGGTTGTTTATATTTGCATTTTATATACACTATAACATTTTCAAAATATTTTGATTTATTTTGAACTGTTTGGGGACATTTTCATTTTCCATTTTTTTTTTTTTTCTAAAGATATCAATTAAATTTTATTTGTTGGATGAAAATTTAATAGAAGGCTCCTAGTATACTGTTCCAAAGGCAGATGAAAAATATTAAAAATCCTTAGTCACAGTTTTTTTTTCTAAGCAATTAAAGTTCACAAATTGACAAAATATGGAAAAATCACGAAAAGCTTTTTTTGAGCTGTTTACGGATATTTTCATTTTTCAATTTTTTTAGTTTTTTTTTCTATAATAATCAATCAAGTTTTATCTGTTGGGCCAAAAAGTGTAAAAATGTAATACAAGACTAATGCTATATTGTTATAATATCAGTTCAAAAACATTGAAAATACATAGGCACAATTTTTTTTATAAGCATTTAAAGTTGAAATGTTGACAAAATGTATCAAAATCTCGAAAATTATCAATCATTGTAATTAATAAATTATAAAATGTTCAAACGTTCAGTTTTTATAGCTAAGGATTGCAAATTTAAAACAAAGGTTCTCATAAATAGGTCATACTGTAACCAAAAAATCTAAAAAATATATGAACACAGTTATTTTTTACAGACCATTTAAATTCAAATTTGGACAAAATTACATATTAAAAAAACCTAGAATAACTATTTTAGTTATTTTGTTGTGATTGTATATAATATTATTCGTGGGTACTTGAAACTTCTAAAGTGTACTATTATATATCTATGATAGTATCACGGTTTGTGGTTGATGTATTACGCTTATAAGTACCTACCTAATGGATATTGTGATATGATTAATTTGAAATTTATTATTGGTACCTATTGTAGGTCAATTTTTTGTTTGATATAGATATGTATATAATATGTCTTATACCTAGACTGACATACCGTCTCCCCTCAGAATTGTTTTTCTTATACAATGATATTATATCGTTGAATTGAAATTTAATATCACCCATTATACAGTGACCCACTTGTAACCTACTTTACAGCAGAGCGACACACACTTGCCCACCTTTTTTTAATTTAATTTCGATCATGTAAAATAATAATAAAAATTGAGAATATACCTTATACCTAGGTACCTATATAATAATATACTTTTTTACTGCGAATACTCAACCAAAAATCAAATACTTCGATAAATAAAACATTTGAATTTTGAATTTTTGAGTACCTATTTTAAAGTTCCACAAATGATGCAGTGAAAAATATATGCTATTATGCTACATACCTCCAAATTAACGTTAAACATGAAAATCGATTCAGTTGATTTATACATTTTATTTTTAAAAAAAAGTAATTGAAATATTTATAAATATTTTTTTTTATGTACCTATTTGTATGTGTACTCAAATACTATTTTTGCTGAGTATTCAAATATTTTTCAAAATAAGTATTTGTAGCCTGTAGGTATCTTTTATAGACCTAAACCTGATTAAAGGTAGAGTAAAATTAAGGTTAAAGGTAAAAGATATTTTTAACGGACATTTTTACTCAAAATCAGTTTTCGACTAATTCGATTTTGGTTTTTGGTGTAAGTCGAAATGACGGTAGATGCATGACATTTTCACAGATTGTTTATATTAACATTTTGTATACACAATATAATTTTCAAAATATTTTGACTCATGTTGAGTTATTTGCGTAGTTATTATGCGTATGAAATTTTCAATTTTTATTAGTTTTTCTTTAATTAGGTCATGTGGATAAACAAATTTTCGCTCGGTTAAAAAACATGAAAATATAATACAAGGTTCATCATAGGTTGTTGTTAGTGTAAATTAAAAAACAAAAGCTGTGCTTAAATCCACAATATCTACCTACCTGTATGAAAAAAAGTCTACCAGAAATGTCAAATTAAATTTTTATGAGCGTTTGAATTTCCAATGTTTAGAACATTGGATATTCATTCATTCAATTTCTTAGGGAATGATTTTCTTATTTTGTAGTAATTCAAAAGTAAATTTTTACTGAATGTTCATTTTTTCATTTTCTATTCTTTATAATAATTTGAAAAAATGTTGACTTGTTTTGAGGGGCATGTACCAGTTGCCCCCAAAAGTACCTTTTTTTTATACCAATTCCCCCCCAAACTACCTGAGCAAAATGTACCAGTCGCCCCAGGGGCGTATTTATGGGGGTGTTTGGGTGGGCTACAGCCCCCCCTGAAATTTCAAGAAAATCCAAAAAATATGAATATCAATAAAACTTTATTTGTTGGGTAAAAAAGCTTGAAAATTTAATACAAGGCTCCTGCTTTATTGTTACATTAGCAGTTGAAAAATATTAAAAATCCTTAGTCATAGTTTTTTTTATAAGCATTTAAAGTTTGAATCTTGACAAAATACGGAAAAATCACAAAACTTAAAATTTTTCTGAATGTTTTCATTTTTTACACACCAAAAAAATTTGAAAATATTTTGCCTCTTTTTGAGCTATTTACTGACATTGACAGTTTTCATTTTTCTTAGTTTTTTTCTATAAGATCATACTTCACAGGATCATTTCTGTAGTATGCATCGTCCCCTCCAGGTGCAAATCTGGAGTCGTCATTAGTTTTTTTTCTATAAATATCAATAAAAATGTTTTTGTTGGGTAAAAAAGGGGGGAAAATTTAACTCAAGGCTCCTGATATATTGTAACAATATTAGTTGAAAAATATTAAAAATACATTGGCACAATTTTTTCTTATAATCATTTAAAGTTCGAATTTTGACAAAATTTATCAAATTTAAAATGTAATAAATATTTTGTAATCAAAAATTTATAAAATGTTCAACTTTCATAGTTAAGGATTGAAAATTTAAAACAATGGTCCACGTAAATAGGTAAATATATAAATTACTTTATTCACAATAATATCATAGGCTGACTGACCGTTTTCGCTTAGAACCGTTTTTCTTATACAATGATACCTATTATATCATTGAATTCAAATTTTACACCATCCATTACAGTACCTACTGTACAGCAGAGCGACATCCACTTACCCACTTTTTTGTTTAATTGTGTGACTATGTTGATCATTTTGTTCAGCCCCTCCCGAAATAAAACTCTGGATACGCGCCTGAGTCGCCCTCATATGTAAATATATATGTTACGTTATGGTACTGCCCGATTGTGACGGGCAATGTAGGCAAAATTATTCATTGCCGGGACTGTATAGAATTGCCCAATAAAGATTGGCAATATAAACCATAAGTTTTTATTTCATAATTATAAACCTTTATAATAGCCTAATCAGTCTTGTTAATTACTTTATTAGTTGAATATTATTATTTATTAACTTAACTATTTATTTTTACGATTAGCATTACATTTTTGATCACAATGACATTAAACAATACATAAATTATCAATACAATTATAATCTTTTAATTTATAATTATAATTTTTTAAATATTGCCCTTTCATTTCAATTAATTTAATTTAAAAACCGCACACATTAGTAGGTATAGCGAACGCCAAATACTATACTATCGCTACAATACGATACGACTATCGAATGCGCTGTACTAAATAGTAAATCGTATATTAACAACTCATATGTCGTACTGTTCAATGACTTCAATGATTGTGATAATAATTATTGTACAATATCATAAAGGTAAAACCGATTTACCGATAAACCGATAATATTGTAGATGAAAGTATAATTTTGAAAAGACGATAATTGACGAA